GAGTTACAGGTTTTTTTTTTGTCATTCTAGTTGTTTGATATGCAAGTGCCATAAGGTAATGGTTGAGAATATGGAACTCTGGACACAGTCTGCCTTGGTTTGAATTCCAACTCTGTTACTGAACTTTAGACAGTTTGCTTACTATCTGTGTTTTCAGTTTCCTAGTCTGTAAATTGGGGTTCTCAATGATCGTTACTTCCTTGTGTAGCTGTGGGAATTAAATGAGTTAAAACTGATACTCAGTGCCATCATAGTATTTGAAAATTTTACATGGTCAGGCTGGGTGCGGTTGGCCCAGGCTTTTAATTTCAGCACTTGGGAGGCAGGAGGGCTCAGATCACTGTGAGTTCCAGGCCAAAATAGTCTACACAGTGAGTTCCAAGCCAGCCAAGGATAATTGTCTCCAAAGCATATTGACCTGGTGTTTCCAGTCTCACAGATAGCAATGGTTATTACCATGCTCCAAACAACACCGTATTTGTCCAGTTTTGTCTCTTCAAGTGTTCAAAACCTTTGTTCTCTGTCTTCCCTGCAACAAGGGCCCTAGGTGAGGCACAAAGTAATAGCAAACTCCTTACACTTCTCAGAACATGCCCAAGTTGCTGCTCTTCTCACATGCACTACACTCAGATTCCCAGCTCTCCTCTGTCACCTCCTACTCATTCTCTAACATGAGATATGCTTAGACTACAGACTCTGTAAGAGGAACATCTCTCTGGATCGTCAGAGAATAGAACAATGGCTGCCACAAAGAGCTACGTAGCGAGCATATGTCAAATTAAAGGCTGCTTGCTGTGCTCCTGAACCTAGGTAGTGGTTGCCAGGGGAGATTTCTTTCAATCCTACACACAGTCTTGTATAGTAGTAAGCTCAATTATTATCTCCACATTTCAGATAAGAAAAATAATGCTCAGAGAGGTTAGATAGCTTGCCTAGACGTGCATATTTACATTTATATGGCTAATCATTCCACACAATCTGCAGTGGGAAATGCGGAGTACGATCTAAGAATGCCAGGAAATGGTGACTGTCATCGCCTGTTTCATGAAGCAACGATATTCAAATGGCTTCATTAAAGGACATGTCTGTTTTTCACATAGTTCTTTTTTGAATTTAGCTGATTTCCAATAGGTAATTTAAGATATCCTATGAAAGTAAAATACATATGAAGGAAACTCTGGCTATTTCTTATCGATTGTTCAGTGAGCCCATTGGTTGCCATACTTTAATCTCATTACATATTACATGTCAACAGCGTTAGTTAGTGTCTCACCCATAATTATCTTTTTTTTTAAAAAAAATCCTTCATGAGGCCACATGGGTGGTTCAGTTCTTTCTGCATGTGACTAATGACTTGACTTTCAGTCCCCAGAACTCACGTTAAAAGCTATATGGGTGGTGTAAGTTTGTAATCCCAGTATACCCACAGTGTGATTGGGGGGGGAGAATTATCCAGAAGCTTTAATACCATTTGGCCTGGAATAAGCTGTCCAGTGATGGATACAACAGGAGAGATCCTGCTTCATTCAACAAGTTGGGAGCTGTGGACAGACCCCCTGAAATCCTCCACCCTCCACACATGTTCTGTGACAAGTGTCATGGCATGGTAATGCTCCATCTCTGTCTCTTACACATGCACACACAAAATAAAATCTGAAAAATCCTTTGTAGTCAACCAAAAATCCAAAAGCCTCTATATCCTCAAAGTCATATTGTCCTAAGGCAGCTGAGGAGGGATTTACAGATTAGCAACAGTAGTCGATGTGGTAGTGGCCACAGACACAGCACTTGTTGAGAATTTAGTGAGTGCCAGGCTTGCGTTACTTAACAATTTACTTGAGTTACCCATTAAATCCCTGCAAAGTGGGCTCTGCTATTTTGTTTAAAATACGGGGAAAGTGGTCCTCGGAGAATTTAACTTACTTGCTTGGAATCACTCACACAGCTGCTAAATGTAGAACCTGAACTAAAGTCTGAAAGTGCATGTCTGTAAAGCCTGGGCGTTTCTCCCAAACTGGACTTTGAAGATTGTGCAAGTTTACTAACCCTCCGAAAGAGCCAGTTTCCTCATCAGTATTATCGAGAGTGATATTATCGCTGTGAAGGTTAGAAATACCCAGAGTATGGGCCAACAAGTGCACACAGTAGGAGTCTCAACTATTGTGTAGACATTTATGCATGCATGAAGACATTTAAGGAGCAGAGGAAAATCAGAGATCGCTTTAAAAAGCACTGGGGAGCTGGTGAGGTGGATCTACAGCTTCAGCTGTCTTGGGAGCTGGCCCTCTCCCCTCCAGGATACAGTGACCAGATGAAGCTCTGAGCGACAGGCAGGGGGCAGGGGCCTAACTCCAGCTTGGGCAACCTCTGCAGGGAGTAGGGAGAGAGGCGGGGAGCTGGGAGGGGCTTTCCAATCCTGGTCGTCAGAGGACTGCAGGTGCTAGGCAGAGTTGGTGTAGGTGGGTTTGTGAGCCTGGCGAGGGAGGGGAGGAGGCTGGGGCGGGAAGGCGGGCGGGTGGAGGAGAGAGGGAGGCGTGGCTCTGGGCCCGAGAGGCAGTCCTTAGACAGCTCTTCCCACGCCAGGCAGTTTGCTGCGTCTGGAGGAGCTCTCTGGAGAATCTCCAACCGCGGAGCGGGCCTTCAACTACCGTAAGTACTTGCAAATGAGCGCATAGTCCAGTGGCTAAAGATTAATTACTGGCCACAAAATCCTAAACAAAACCCCGAAAGAGCCCCCTGATGTGATTAATTGCTGTAAATTGAATTGCTCCCCAGTCTTTCCTTCCACCCCCTTCATCCCTGCCTTTCTCCTTCTCTCCCCCGATCCCAGCCCCGCCTCCGATGAGAACCTCTGGGCAATGTGGATACATCCTCTTTCCTTTCTCAGTCTTCCCTCCAAACCCTAAGCAAAGCTTGTACCCGGCACGCTGCGGAGCCCAAACCCGTTGATTTCTGGAGCCTTTAAAGCTATGAAGGGGGCTAGCCATTAGATATTTCGGATCTCTCACCCTCGCAAACACTGCGGGGCTGCCTAATGGTGGGGAAAGCGAATGGGATAGAGTATGAGGGAATCATTAAAAAACAGCCTCAACTGCCTAAGTTGGGGGTGGGGTGAAAGGGCAAAATGGGCGTGGCCAATTTTGAACCTCAGGGTCGTTTCCAAGCTCCTGGGCATAAGATTCTTTATGTTGGCTGAAGTGATACGGTACCTATTTAAAAAAAAAAATCCACAACTGATTGAGGAGTGGTCAGCCATGCTGAGAAATTCAGCTTTTCTGACTCACTCCAGATACCAAGAGGAAAGGCCCTGATGTCCATGTGGTAAGGCTGGATTCTCAGATGGCATTTCCTGGGTGCAATCCCAGGTTGCCTTGGCAAAGAACCGAGCTTCCCCCAACTATATCCTGGCCCAATGCCCCAAGGGGAAACAGTGCAACAGGGTGGTATCCAAGCTGGTCTGGCGCCGAGAAAATTGCGGACAGGAGGTTCTAGGAATTGAGATGGGAAGAGTCTCATTAGGGTCCTATGCCAAACGTATACCCCTCTTTTAAAAAAAAATGGGACGAAATACACCTGTTTGCATGAAATGTACACCGCATGCCTGGCACTGTACATAGGTTTTCTGTAATCCAAAACAACAATGTTAGGTATATATTATTCCCCCACTTAACATAAGAAAAGTTCAGAGCCAGTAAATTAAGTATCCTTCAATACAAGTAAATGAAAAACAGGGCCCTACTTGACTCTCTCGGTGTCAACTTGATGTCTATCTCCTGGGTGTTTTGAAAATGTGTATTTCTGCTCCTCCATTTTGTACACTGTCATGGCTAGACCATATTAGAGGCTATCAGTCTATGGTAAGTTTACAGAAACGAAGTCATTCTTTTTCTCTCTTGGGGAAGCTACCTATACCTCACTCCGAGGAGCTAAGGCCAAACAACTGAGGTAAAGCAAGGATTCCGTCTACGAGTACAGATTTCATAGGGGCGAATTCGCCTGTGTTTGTGCTGTGAGAGCACACCTTCCCTTGGCAAAGGTTACTTTGCAGCCAGAGGGGAGAAGATCCACCTCATGTATACGGAGTACCCGTGGTTGGAAGTGACTTCTGGGGAAATGAAAAGACCTCTTTGTGATCCTTAAAATTCAAACAATCCCATTTTCTTCAGCAGTAGTGAACAAGCCACTTAGAAGCTAAGGGCAAACTCTAAAGTGGGATAGTTTACACTTTTGTTAACTACTTTGCGGAGGCAGCTGGATTAAAAGACTCAAAACAGGGTATTAAGCTTTGGGGTTAAGTGACAAGAGTATATCAGAAGCACTCCTTAGAGGAAGCAGTCTTTGTGATGTGCAGGGCGATGATGGAAGATGAAGATGGAGGTGAGGGCATGTGCTGCCTCTGGACATTGTCAACCTTGGAGTAAAACATGAACTTTAATTTTTGATTTAACATTTTGACTTTTAGCAAATTATGTATCCCTTCGAAACTCCATTTGCCTCAGCAACAAAATGGGGGCAGCGGTAATTCCTTCCTTATTAAGCTGTTGGAAGATTCAGCTGTGTGTGTGTGTGTGTGTGTGTGTGTGTGTGCATGTGTGTGTGCAAGCATAGGCACACGCTCTTGTGTACACTTGCGTGCATGCACATGCAGGCAGATATCTGATCAAAGGATCTAAAAGGTGAGCATTCACAGGTTCCACCTTCCCCACTCTGTAGGGTTTCTTCAGACTTGTTTAAGGGCATCTTCTGTGCCTTTGAAATCTCAGGAACAAATAAACATTTCAGCAAAAACAACATCGTGGATTCCAGGAACAGATCTTGAGTGGAGAAATGGGGAAGTGAGGAAAAGGATCAAGGCGAGGAAAGTGACAAGTGGCCTTATTAACAAGCTAGGATCCTGTGAACCAGTGGAATGGAAGGTTGCCAAGAGCAATGCAATGATCTCCCCTCGATCTGAAAGAGCAGAACTCATCCCTGAGCAAGACAATTTCTTCTTTTAGATTCTACTATCTTTTAAGAAGCAAAGCCTTCAAGACTCACAGTATACATCCTGCACCAGAGGCCCCACAGCCCTAGACAGGCCATGATGCTCCGGACCTTCAATCTATTGCTCGGTTGCATTTGTAAGTACAAGGAAAGAGTGAGAAGCAAGTGACTCTGTAAAGTGACTCTGCTCTTGTGAGCAGGCTCCTGGTGGGAGGCGGGGGAGATTCTTGAGGTTGGAGAGGGCAGTATGAAGAACAGAGTCTCTCCTTTACCATTTTCTCTTTCCAGGGCTCAGTCTGGGTGTGGCCTCAATGGGTAAGTGCTTTCCTGCCTGAGACTAGAAAGAGCTGGTCTGTGTGCATGGCCTTGAGATACCCAAGCCAGGTTGGGCTGCTTGGAAATCAGAGCCTCTTCCATCATGACTTACTTTCCCAAGAACTATGAAATGCTTTATCTCTCATTTGAAGGCAGCTTATTCCCCTGCTTATTTGGATCCTTTGAACAAATGCCCTAGCATCTCTGTCCCAAACCCCACTCCCACTCCCACAGGAAGTGGGACACTCCCACTTTCACAGGAAGGCAAAAGGTAGCATCTAGGTGGGTTAGAGACAGTTTTCAGGCATGCTGTGGGGCACTTTGTGGGAGGGAGAAGGCTGACTGCTGCTATCTTTGTGTTTTGGGGGAATAACAGCAGTGGAGCCTCAACCAGAGCTGTGGATAGAATCCAACCACCCCCATGCCCCCTGGAGCAACCTCACGCTTTTGTGCAGAAGCCCCTCTCGGGTGTCCAGCAAGTTCCTGCTGATGAAGGATAACACACAGATGACCTGGACTCGTTCTTCTTACAAGACCTTCCAAGTGTCATTCTTCATAGGGGCCCTTAGTGAGTCTACTACAGGTGTTTATCGATGCTGCTACTGGAAGGAAAAAGGCTGGTCAAAGCCCAGTAAGGTTCTAGAGTCGCAATCACCAGGTGAGATGGCAAAGCTTGATGCTCAAGAAGACTTTCCCACACTTGGGACCCAAAATTGTCATCCTAGAAAAGGGTTTGTTGATGTTATTTCAAATTCATGCATGTGTGTATGCCACAGATAGCACCAAGTGCCTACTTGGGGTCAGACAATGCACAGAGAGGATGCTACTCTGGAAGGGTGGGGTCAAAGAAGGCTCCTCTACATTCAAAGTCTCCTGTCCCGCAGTCTCCTTGTTCTAACTCATATCAGTTCATTCTTTCCTTACAGGCCAACTTCCTAAACCCATCTTCTGGATCGAGGCAAAGGCGCCTCCTCTTCCTGGATGCAATGTTAACAGCCTCTGCGATGGATGGATTCAGGATTTAGTATTTGTGCTGTTGAAAGAGGGAAACACAGAGCCCGTAGATTACCAAGTCCCAACTGGGACAATGGCCATATTCTCCATTGACAACTTGGCACCTGAGAATGAAGGGGTTTACCTCTGCCGCACTCATTTCCAGATGCTCCCCACTCTGTGGTCAGAGCCCAGCAACCCCCTGAAGTTGGTGGTGGCAGGTGGGTGTGGCCATGGCTGCTGGCATCTGACAATTATTATCCCAGGGATCATGGCCGGTTGAGCAAAAGATTTTGAAATTACTTACCTAAGCCAGTTTCTAGGCCCTGCAAGGTTGATGAGGTAGTCATTTGACATTTTCCTGAGCTCTAACGTAGAATCACACATGCTTTAAAGCAGATAACCCTTTGGCCTGTTTGTGAGCCTAGCTAGCTATTCAATAGCTTCATCTTATCACGGGCTTATTGTCGTTTACTTGTGGATTGTCATTCATTCCCTCATTCATCCAATGTTTATTGAGCACCTAATATGTGCCAGGCATTGCTAGTATAGTCTTGAAATTGATTCCTTAAAAGTTTAAGTGCATTTGTGATGATTATATTTAAGTGTGTGAAATATAATGAACCACTGTTCTCCTTGATGAAAAATAAGCAGATGACAAAGAAAGTGATATTTTATATTCTAGAAATGGCTTGAAAGATTACTTTGTCCCACATCAATAGAGCCAGTAAAGGCAGTACCACGCTCCAACACAGAAGGCAACTCCTCCAGTCACACACTCCAGCTTCAACTCCTCTACCCCATGCCCTAGATGATTCCAGGTGGAATTGTCTATATTTATGTAATTCCCACTCAGGCAATATAGATCTAGGGAAATTGTGATGCTACAGAAAGTACCTGAATGGCTAGTACCACCTGTGACACTGCTTCCCTCTGTGATGTTGAGCAAGTCCTGCTACTTCTCTGAGCTTTGGTTTTCTCCATTCTATCACAGGATACCAGTATCTGTCCAATCTACTGTATACTGCCACTCTGTGCTTCAATTTAATAATCTACAAAATTGGTATAAGAATAATGCCTACCTCACAGGGTTGTTGTGAGGATTTACCTAAATAACATGTACAGTGCCTGGCATATAAGTTCTCAATAAATGGTAGATAATAATTCTATTAATATAGCTTTTTCTTGAGGATCAAAGTACAAAGGACGGTTTAATTGGTGTATATTGATGCCTGTTGTACATATACCCATTCAACGTAGATCCCACAAACACATACTTCTGCAATTCATGTTCACTAGTATTTTCCACTTGTCTGTTAGTGTTATTCTGGCAGGGACATAATATTCCTTACACCCAATACGTCTAGACTGGCATGATTCATGACACATCTGAAAAGCTCCTATGAGTATATGACAGGGATAATCCTTCCATAGTGGATGAATTGGTGTACCTGGGATTTGAGTGGGGAATAAGACGGAGTCTTGTAGAGCTGAAGTTTAATACTACAAACTGTTTCAGTAAAACAGTCCATGGAAATAAGGGTGGGCCGCGTTACCAGATCTCACTGGCTTACTGAGTTTTTGCCCCAAAACCCCCTATTGGCCTCCTCCAGCCGCATGTTTTGAGTGTTGGAAGTAAGGGTTTAAGGTGGATTAATGTGTTCAGATGTTCTCATTAATATTTCAGGGAAAGTTTTGCTTTACATGATGGAATCAAAGTCATTTTTGAGGTGTGGATTTACTGGCTATGGGAAGAACTATACTTGTCATTTCTGAGACCTGAAGATACAGGACATTATGAATGTAGACAGTCCCCTGAGGCAAGCACCTGTACCTGGCTGAGCTCACAGTGGAGCTAATAGAGTCAGTTAAGAGGGAAAGGCTATCAGTAACTTAATGTTGATTACATACGCAAGGAGGCATAAATCTAAGGAAAGAGAAGGAGGGAAGGTTACATTCAAATTGCCACTTTTGTCCAAAGAAACTAGGAGAATAAAAATAGACCAGGGAAGAATTGGCCAAACTGTAACTTAAGGGTCTCTTCCCTTTCTAGGTCTCTACCCCAAACCAACTCTGACAGCCCATCCTGGGCCCATCCTGGCACCTGGAGAAAGCCTGAGTTTCAGGTGCCAAGGGCCAATATATGGAATGACGTTTGTTTTAATGAGGTTGGAAGGCTTGAAGAAATCTTCTTACTACAAGAAGGCAGTAAAAAATGAGGCGTATTTCGACTTCAAGTCTCTGAAGACCCAGGATACAGGGCATTACCTCTGTCTTTACTATGATGCGTCATACAGAGGCTCACTGCTTAGTGATATCCTGAAAGTTTGGGTGACTGGTAAGACAGGGGTATGCTATGGATCAAGTCACAAAGCTTTGTCTGATTCCCTCTACCTCCTTGTACCTATTCATTTGGTCAGGACTAATAGTGGGGGGGGGCAGAATTTCTTCAGTTTAGTGGGGGATTTGAAAAGTGCAAACTGGAAAACAGAGGAGGAAAATAGCCCTAAGTATTGGAAGGAGGGGAAAGTTCTACTATTGGCTATTTGTATTTTGGGTCTCGTCCTAGAAACTTTTCCCAAGACCTGGCTACTTGTTCAACCCAGTCCTGTGATTCAAATGGGTCAAAACGTAAGCCTGAGATGTCAAGGACTAATGGATGGAGTGGGGCTTGCCCTCTATAAGAAGGAAGAAGAAGGGCCCCTTCAGATTCTGGATGGCACCAGCAACGATGGCAACAAATCATTCTTACTCACGAATGTGACCGACAAGGATGCTGGCATCTATAGCTGCCTGTATTTTCTAAACTGGAAGACATCCATTAAGATGGAAACATACAATACTGTGGAGCTGATGGTTGTAGGCAAGTGATACCAACTGGCTTTAATGTTGTTGTCATCTGTTTGCTTTTATCGTTTGCTTTTACTGTGCTCTGTGGTGGTTCTAGTGTGTCTTGCACTGTCCTAGAGCTATGAGCTAAAAAGAAAACACTAGGAAAGTGGTATAGGACTTTTACATCCTCTAGGGACCTTCTCTCCAAGGATTTACTTTAAGTCTTACCTCATGGCACTACCCATCCCCACTGTGACTCAAGAAAAAAAAATATTTTCCTTCAAGCCAGGGAGATCTTACAGGTACAAGGTCTTCCTGGTTGAGAGTAGGAACCAGTAGTGTTTAGAGAACCAAGGAGAGGGGGGAAGAACTCTAAACACACAAGGCTTGGAGTCACTAATCAAATGTAAGTGAAAAGAAACAGAAGCCCAAAAACATTTCGCAGGAGAAAGTGTGCTGAGCTCAATGTCGCTTCTAACTCTGGTCTCTGGATTGGTTTCAGAGAAGCCCCCCAAACCCTCCCTTTCAGCTTGGCCCAGTTCCGTGTTCAATATAGGAAAGACCATCACCTTTCAGTGCCGAGTATTTCATCCAGTACTCGAATTTTCTCTGGAATGGGAAGAAAAAGCAACATTCCCAAAATTCTCAATAAATGGAGACTTCATTATCACTAACATTGAAGGACAAGGCACAGGTACCTACAGTTGCATCTTTCGTATTGAGGCACACACCTACATCTGCTCCGATCACAGCAAACCTCCGAAGTTGGCGGGGCCAAGAGGTGAGAGGATTACTTCTAATAGGAATATATTTCCATATCCTGGAATCCTAAAGTAGTGCCCAGAAATATACGGGAAGGGGAGTGAGGGCATGAAGTCAGGACCCAGGGGTCTAGGCACACTTCCCTTGGGTATTCTATAGTAATTGCAAGTAGCAAGCAGAATATTCTGAAGACTCCATAGAAAGGAAGGGCACATCTAGCTCAAGCTTCTAAATAGGAGCTTTCTCAGTAACCAGCACCCTTCCCCCACCATGAATTGATCTGGCTGCCCTTATCCCCATCATGGCTTTTGCTTCTGGTCTTCTCTAGTCACAGGCTTCCTCACCTGGAATTCCTTTATGAATGAAGTGTTCAGGATGTCCTTATTTGTCCAGCTTATCTCCTTGCTGTTGCTAGTGCTATGGATACGGTGGAGGTGTCGGAGATTGAGATTAAGGTAACTGTCTTTTCCCTGTCTGTTGTTCCTAAGCTAGCTGATTCTGTGCTCCCCTAGTCTCCAGAATGAGCCACTACCCAGTTGCAATAAGTCACAGGGACGAACTCTTAGGTTTTTCTTCAGCCTCTAGGATTACAGTCAAGATATTCTCCTTCCATCTCTTTCTCTTCCACTTCACAGAGAACTTATTTCCCAAGCCACAATGTGGAGTCAAGTATAGTTTTCAGAGGCTACAGAAATAATCAGAAGCATGCTCCCTGACGTCTATACCTCCTACAGTGCCCACATCTCCTCTTAAACAACTCTGTCCATGAGACATCATCGATGTCTTCCCACCCATATGGTGTGAACATATATTCTTGTAAGAATCTGTGTTCTTCTGTCTTCCATGTTATCTAATTCCCATCTTGTTTTTTCCACTTTACTGCCCCCTTCAATTTTCAATGGCTAGAGTGAATATTTGGGCTCATTCTAGGTTCTTTAGAAACGACTTTTTCTGTTACTCTAGACTCCTATTGTCTGTGCAGAGTATCCTTAGAATATAGTTTTAGCCTGGATAGGCATTTGATAAGACAACAGATGGAGCCTCAGAATTGGACTCTTTCCTCTGACCTGAAAACAGCTCTTCCTGCCGTTTGATTCCCCAGTGTCCTTTGGACCATTGATCTCTCTCCTTAATCCCCATGAGTTTCTTAAGGCTCTTCCAGTTGGAAAGAGAGAGAGAGAGAGAGAGAGAGAGAGAGAGAGAGAAATGATAGATCTTGACCAGTAGAGGCCTTACCACCTGAATGTTTTGCCCACTTCCCTCCGTCCTCTACTTCTGGGCACACCCTTCTTCCACCTTTGTGAGTCTGAGAAATTTAACACACAATGGATGATCACTATGACTATGTGTGTCTGTTTTTCCCCCGCTGAGATCTGAGGGATAGAGTGTCAGGGGAGCAAGTGGAGAGCTACTTATGGTTTCTGGAAAACACAACAAAACAAAAATAAAAGAACACCATTGGAGTTTTCAAACAGTTTCAGCAAGGTCAAATTGTACTATTCTATAGATTCTACCCTAAGTTCCATGTGCTCTAGGCTAACCTCTTAGCAGGATTTACACATACACACACACACACACACACACACACACACACACATATATATATATATATATATATATATACATACACATCTTCATGTGTTCTACCCTACTCCAAGACAATTGCATCAAAGAATAAGATCAGAATGCAAATTTCATAGAAAGCAGCTTGAAAAATTGTTTTCTAACTAGGAAAAGGCTAAGGATGGTCACTGTTTTCTAAGGAAAAGCAGTCGATTGAATGTTGGTTTTATACCTCCTAATTGTACAGGAGGCAGAGCCCCACAATGGCGCTACACATTTGTAATCACAATCGAGGTAGTGGGAGAGAGATCCCACTCTCTGACAGGCTTAGCTCAGCACGGACAGGCAGTCTTCTGGTAATTCAGCAAGGCTGCCTAGGCAACCCTTCCATAACAGAGGCAGGTGAGGCAGGTCAGTCTGAAGACCAGTCCTGCCATAGGAACAACTGCTTCCAAACTTAAACTTGATGACTGAGAAACACTCAAGGTTGCTCTTTCCACCCCCACCCCCAACCACCCAGAGCTGCTGAGCTCCAGGGGTTCCAAGAACTCGAGATACAAAAGCATTTACCCATATGACATATCATTCGCTGCAACAACCTAATCAGAGGTCATGGGAAACTGACAAAAAATATCTCCTGGGGGAGGGGCAGGGATGAGGGGCATGTAGGCTATGAAAGTACAAGGGGTTCGTTTGTAGGTGGTTGGGTTCTCAAAAAGAAAAGTCATCAGTGTCAGAAAAGATTATATCCCATTATCCTGACCGTACCCCGTCCCTATTGGGTACTGAATAAGCCAATGACATAAATTGCCGCCCCCTTCTCTCCGCCCTCCCCCTAATCCCAGCAACTCCTCTCATCTCATTTCTGGTCTCCTTAGAGAAGCCTGGTTGTTGGGAACAGCTCAAGGGGTCGCCATGCTCTTCATAATCATGGCTCTTCTTTGCTGTGGTGAGTACAAAGTGTTGGGTCAGGGTCCTGGCAGCAGACTGGGGGCAGTCTTGGTGAGGAGGGGGCAGAGCCTGACCATGGCTTCTTTTGCAGGACTGTGCACTGGGGCACTGGCAGAAGAGATTGGTGAGTTTTTCCCTGCTCCAGACTGGGACATTCCTTTCTGGAGATCCGAAATAACTACAGAGTGTCAGTGTCAGTACCCAGGGAGTGACTAGTTGGGAGGGAAGGGCCAGGAAGGGGCACTTGTTAAAGCTACTGGCAAAATTCAGCCTCCAACTCTGTTTTCCTGCCTGTGAAATTTTCTCCTGCATTTTTGTGAGGCTCAGCTGAGCCATCAGCTTCCCCTTTCCCCAGCACCTGAAGAAAGAAGCAAGCTAGGAAAGAAAAGATTTTGTTTGAAGGGGAGGGGGGGATCCGGGTAGGGGCTTCAAGAGAAGGGGAATGCCAGAAGGATGGCTTCATTAACTCTGCTGTTTCTAGAAGTAATCATGCCAACTCCTAAGCCTGAACTGTGGGCAGAGACGAACTTCCCTCTGGCCCCGTGGACGAACTTAACCCTCTGGTGCAGAAGCCCTTCTGGCTCAACGAAGGAGTTTGTGTTACTGAAGGACGGGACCGGGTGGATTGCAACTCGCCCTGCCTCGGAGCAGGTCCGGGCTGCCTTCCCCCTTGGCGCCCTGACCCACAGTCACACCGGGAGTTACCATTGCCATTCATGGGAGGAGATGGCTGTGTTGGAGCCTAGTGAAGCACTTGAACTAGTAGGAACAGGTAAGCGAAGGCAGAGAATCCTCCTGGGACCTCTGTGCTGCTGGGAGGAGAGAATGGGGGAGGGGCGAGGAAAAGAGTGAGAGGAGACCAGTTTGGGAACTCGGGACTAGTCAGGATGCATTTCGTTTCTTTGTAGAGAAAGTAATTCTGAGCTTCCCATCTTGGACACTTCCAAACTTTTGACTCCCTTGCCATCCCATTTTCTAGACATCCTTCCCAAACCTGTCATTTCGGCTTCCCTCCCAGTCCGGGGCCAGGAACTGCAGATCCGGTGCAAAGGATGGCTGGAGGGTTTAGGGTTTGCTCTGTTTAAGAAGGGAGAGCAGGAACCTGTCCAGCAACTTGGTGCCATTGGAAGAGAAGCCTTCTTTACAATTCAAAGAATGGAGGATAAAGACCAGGGCAATTACAGCTGCTGCACACACACCCAAATGCAGCCCTTCAAGTGGTCCGAGCCGAGTGAGCCCCTGGAGCTTGTCATAAAAGGTAGAGATGAAAGGGGTGTGTGAGGGAGGAGGGGCGGAAAGTGCCTGTGGGACACCACGACAAACTTCGCTGCTGGTACTAGGAGCCTGTGTCCAATCTTAGGGCCAGGCAGGCGTGGCGCTGGGAGTGCCAGGGCCTCTGGCTGCACGATATTAATAGCCATAATTGTTATTAATAGCTTGGGTTTGTGGAGGGTGATTTAATTTTTCTGATTATTTTCCCATTGATTACCTCATTTAACTATAGAGGAAATCTTGAAGAGAGGTGAAATAGGTACTATTCCTTCTCTTATCCGGATGGGCAAGCTGAGACTCGGAGAACTAGCTAATTGAGTCCCAAGAAAATTTACCCCTTTCATTGCCTCCCTCCCTTGCCTGTTCCAGTGACTGTGAGGATTCAGATTCCTCTAGAGGCAAAAAAGGACTGGATGGGGGATTCCTGTAAAAACAAACAAAACCATTAATGCATCTATTTATGAAAATGCATATAGAGATCAGCTTCCCCAAACCAACATTTGCTGTATTTATTTTCTGTTTTCTTGATTTGGTTTTGTAATGTTTTGTTTTTCTCTTCTAGAAACATACCCCAAGCCTTTCTTCAAGACATGGGCCAGCCCTGTAGTCGCTCCTGGTGCCCGAGTGACTTTCAATTGTTCCACCTCTCATGAGCACATGAGCTTTATTCTTTACAAGGATGATACTGAAATTGCATCCAGCGACCCAGCCTGGGGAAAGCCGGGGTCTAGTGCAGCTCACTTTCTGATCATTTCAGTGGGCATTGGTGATGGAGGGAACTATAGCTGCCGTTATTATGACTTTTCCATCTGGTCTGAGCCCAGTGACCCAGTGGAGCTCATTGTGACAGGTTAGGGGCGGGAAAAATCTTGGTGGAGATAGCGTTGACCCCAGGAGAGTGATTGGAAGGACTGCCAGTGGGAGGGGAAGAAATGTGTTCTCCAAAGGACAGAGAGAATGTGCTTGGGATAAAGCTCAGCACAAGATGAACTAACTGTCCACAGAGGACAGCTGCTCATGTTATCATCGCAAGAAAAGACAAAGGAGTGGGGAGGGGGGCATAGAAATTTGCCTCTGAAGAAAGAAGTGAGGTAGATAGGGGTAGCCAATCCAAGAACCAAACTCAAGTCACCCGCTTACTGAGATGGTCCTTTTAGGCTTGGCCTTCAACTTTGAGTTCAATATCTGATTTTTCCTGAAGTGAGTTGTCAGGGATTGGTGGGCTGGATGACCCTCAGAGAAATAGGAGAAAACCTTGAAATGCCAGTTGCTTGTTAGACAGCCATTAAAAATGATCGTTTCAAAGGGTGTTTAGCGTCATAAGAAAGCATTTACAATATAAACATACCCCACTCTCCAACTCTGAGTATAGAGGGGTCTCAGTTATATAAATAGTCTCAGCTCCAAGGACATAGTCATGTGTTAAAATATAAGTTGGAAAATAGTTATATTTGAGCTCAGAAAATTATGTTTTCTTCATTAGTTTTTTATTGCATTCTCTTATTTTCTACAACAAACATACATCATCTACCTTAACAACATTATAAAGGCTATTTGCAGAATGTGGGGCACAGTCTTCTCTTATATTATGATCTCTTTCCTTTTAGAATTCTACCCCAAACCTACTCTCTTGGCACAACCTGGCCCTGTCGTGCTTCCTGGGAAGAATGTGACACTGCGCTGCCAAGGAATTTTCCAGGCCATGAGGTTTGCCCTCTTACAGGAGGGGACCCATGCTCCCATACAGTTCCAGAGTGCTTCGGGGACCTCAGTTGACTTCCTCCTCCACACTGTTGGAGCAGAGGACTCTGGGAACTACAGCTGTATCTACTATGAGACAACCATGTCCAACAGGGGCTCGTACCCTAGTACACCCCTTATGATCTGGGTGACCGGTAAGGACAGACAAAAAAAAAAAGAACAGGGTTGGGATAGGATCATTTAGAGTAGGAACTAAGGAGGTTATTCTCTTCTAGAAGGGCTTGCCCAAAATATGGAGGGGATTCAAGGAAAATCAGTTACCATGGTGTGGGGGTAGCAAGGTTGCATGCATACTTAGACCTTATTTATCTTTGTTCTTTCTAGATACATTCCCCAGACCACGGTTGTCTGCTGAGCCTAGTTCTGTGGTTACTATGGGACAAAATGTTACTCTCTGGTGCCAAGGACCAGTCTATGGAGTTGGGTACATTTTGCACAAAGAAGAAAAAGCCACTTCAATGCAGCTTTGGGGGTCCACCAGCAATGAAGGAGCATTCCCTATCACCAATATATCTGGTGCAAGCATAGGTCGTTATAGCTGCTGTTACCACCCTGACTGGATTAGCTCTATCAAGATACAGCCTAGCAACACGCTGGAACTCATGGTCACAGGTAAGGGCATTAGACTGTGAACTGGGTATTGTAGTGTAGAAAGGATCATATTGACTGGTTCATGGGAGACTAGGGGAGGTCAGGGAGAAATGCGCTCTAAAATGGCTTCTCTCTGACCAGCTGTTAATTTCTTATAGGTTTACTCCCTAAACCCAGCCTGTTAGTTCAACCTGGCCCCATGGTAGCCCCTGGAGAAAATGTGACTCTTCAATGTCAAGGGGAGCTGCCAGATTCAACGTTTGTCCTTTTGAAAGAGGGGAACCAACAACCATTACAGCAGCAGAGGCCAAGTGGGTACAGAGCTGACTTCTGGATGCCAGTGGTGAGGGATCAAGATTCTGGTGTCTACAGCTGTGTTTATTATCTGGATTCTGCTCTCCTTGTGGCTTCAAACCATAGCAACTCTCTAGAGATCTGGGTAACCGGTAAGGTTCTGAAACCCAGTAAGCATTTAGATATTGGAGTTTTTAGGTTTTTACGACTTAAGAGCCATACAAGAGATGGCTGGGTTTGGGGCCACTTCTTTTGACTCCATGTTCTTGTTTTGCTTGCAGATAAGCCCCCTAAGCCCTCTCTGTCAGCCTGGCCCAGCACTGTGTTCAAACTAGGGAAGGACATCACCCTTCAGTGCCGAGGACCCCTACCAGGAGTTGAATTTGTGCTGGAGCATGATGGAGAAGAAGCACCCCAACAGTTCTCTGAGGATGGAGACTTTGTCATCAACAACCTGGAAGGGAAAGGCATTGGAAACTACAGCTGCAGCTACCGTCTGCAGGACTACCCCAACATCTGGTCAGAGCCCAGTGATGCCGTGGAGCTGGTGGGAGCAGCAGATGAGTGGATTATATTCCCCCCCCGCCCCTCTCCATGCAAGTTCCTGCTGTGATGTTCCTGCGACCTCAAGGACATCCCCCACAAAGATAGGTCAAGTTAGGAGATGGGAAGTATATGGAATTGGAGCCCTCAAATACATCATAGCTCTTGTAAAGATGAGGCGGAGGGAGGCCTTCAGGTGTACTCAGAGATACGGCATAGATGCATCTAAGGCCTCCCTGTCTGCCAGAAAGGAGGTCTGGGTGTCTCAGCATATGCGCCTCGACTGATCAGCCCTCCGACCGCTCAGTACTTGGCTTGCATAGTGACTCTGAAGAGGTAAGAGTGAGAGGACAACATAGTGTTAAACAGAACGTTGATGTGCTAAGTTCTGATTCTGTTCATTTATACACCACAGGGCCTGTTGCTCAAGAGTGCACTGTGGGTAACATTGTCCGAAGCACCCTGATTGTGGTGGTTGTGGTAGCCTTGGGGATAGTGCTAGCTGTAGAGTGGAAGAAGTGGCCTCGACTTCGAACTAGGTAAACACTCAGCTCAGCTCAATTCCAGAAATGGAGTGCCGCTGGAATAACCCACGATTCAGTTACTTTTCTGGCTTCTGAGCTCCACCCTCCCAGCCGTTTTCAGAAGCTGCCCTCTCCCATTAGTTTTCTATCTGTTTTCTTTTTATAGGGGCTCTGAGACAGATGGAAGAGACCAGACCGTAGTCCTTGAAGAGTGCAACCAAGAAGGAGAAGCAGGCACCACCACCAATTCTCCTTCATCTGCCTCTCCGGGAATCTCAGTGGAAGTGACAGTCCCAATATAATTACCCTCTCCTTTACAAGAGCTTTCCTCTCCTTTCTTTTACCTGCAGAGACCTGGAAATCCATCTTGGTTCCCCTGGAATGCAGCAGCATTTCCTGATTCTTGACCTCTAACCACCTGAGTGGGGTCAAGAGGATTCTTGGAGTGGCAAGCTCTACTAGGTCAAGATGTTTCCTCTACCCCCAAACGCCTCACTGTACTGTGTTACTGGTGCATGGAATCCTACTCAAACCATATTCTTCTGAATAAAGAGAGTATTCACTATTTAACTGCAAAAAAAACATGGTAGTGGTCTTCTTTTATTCTGTTTCCTACTTACGACTTACCAGAAATGATAAGAGAACTCCTTTTCCTGTAAGGAGCAGTTCATGGATTTAGTGGTGGAGGAGGAGGATGAGAGGTCTCCCAAATACCACTTCGCAACTTAATTTTAAATCTGGGCACTGAACGTGGTGTTCTTCTGCCCCTCCATCCTGTCCCTGAATGACAATGTTCTGTTTAGGTTAAATATGAGAAGAACAAACAGTGAAGTTCACTGATTTTTTTCCTCTATGTTACTTTCAGGTTCAGAGGCTTACAAACAGAGGATCTGGTCCTCTATAGAACATTGAAACTGGCAAAATATGTCTTGTGACACTTATTAGCAACCATGTAGTATTCACTAATTCCATAGTAATTATGAATAAATTAATAAAACCTGATATTTTACCCCATGTAAAGAAAGTTCCATTTCTCCAAAAGTCTTGGTCTCTGGTGGTGGGATTTCTGGAAGTGAGGAAGCAGTTGGCATGCAGGGAACTCTTAGTGTCTACTCCCAGGATTCGAGTCAGAACTGGCTCTTATTTTTATCCTATGATCCTTTTCCCCTGCATTAACACACACTTTGTTTCATGGATGGAAATTCAGTACATATTAGATGTGTTTGATTGAAGAGGGAGGGTTGCCTAATTCCTTGAACCTCGTGTAAGACCTCAGAAGAATTGATTTGTTGGTCCTAGAAGAGTTCATGACCCCTTCACACATGACCCTAAAGTTCCTTGCCCCCAGTACTGTGTAATTCTAAGCAAACACTATTCAATAGAACAATACACAAGGGTTGAACACCCAGTGAGCTATTTAACCCTGGGTACAATAAAGTTTAGAAAGTAACTCCTATATCTGTGCATTAGGAAGCTTATTTGTGCCAGAAGTTAATGAAAAAGAGTGCATCCTATTTCCCTTAATCCTTAAGAATGAAACATGCTGAGTATTATAGACTAATTTGTATTAAGCTCTGTGGAATGTATAAGTACAAAGTCCCACTCTGATTTCTATTTGATGAGATTCTATTAGTTGCTTACACTAATTTCTTATAGTGTTTCTAAAAATTGCATTTGAAAGTGCTTTTACATTTGAATCCAGTCAAACCTAATTGTTGCTTTGTGCCTAACATTACTCTCTGCCCTCAAACTCTACATCCTTAACCCTCAGTCAAGCTGTGCCCTGTGAACACTGGAAGGAAGCCTGTCCTTAGTCCTTGGGTTTAGGATAAAAAAAATCCTTTTGATGGGGCCCGGTTATGTTTTCTGATCTTTAGAGGTTTCAAAGTATATGTTGTCAAGGTTAGTGTCAGAGTTGTGCAAGTCATCAAGGGATCTAGCTGTTGAGAGAGAGAGAGAGAGAGAGAGAGAGAGAGAGAGAGAGAGAGAAGAAGGAGAGAGGGGGAGGGGGGGAGAGAGATAGAGAGATAGAAAGAGAGAGAGAGGGAGAGAGAGAAACAGAAACTTCAGAGAGTGAGAGCCATGAACTGAAATTTTGAGAAGCCTCCAAGTTAGAAAAGCAGAACCTAAAAAAGACAAACATGCCAGAGACTCTTGTGAAATGTACACATTGAACCTGGGGTCTCCTGTGTCACCAAGGTTCAAAGAGGGATACTTATGTGCAATCAGGAAAAAAGCCCTAGAAGCCTTGCCCTGAGAAACAAACTGAGAAATACTGTGACACTGGACTCTCAGTTGGCTTTCTCAAAACATTTACACACTGTTCTTTCACTCGGAGAACCCAGCTCTACAAGAATTAGAAGGGAGAAAATAGTTGTCAGTTAACCGTGAAATACTTATAAGACAAAGAGTTACTCTGAAATTTAACTTTGTTATTCCCTGTCAAAGCTATGTCAATGAATTAAATATCTATTTACAATGCAGAAGTCGTCACAAACTGTCTCAATGAATTAAATATCTATTTATAATGCCAATGTAGCTTGTTTCTGACAATTCTCCTCATGGTCTGTTTTTTTTTTTTTTCTCTTCTCAACCTGGTTGCCATGGGAATCAGTCCCTTTACCCCTGGCTGGCCTCTAATCATCACCCAGCATCAAGTAATTTATGGGAAGTGGAATCTCAGTTAAGGAATGAACCTTTACGGGGAAACTGTCTCTCCGAAAAGAAAATCCAAATGCTTCTCCCAAATCTGAGAAAACAGATGTAAATGCCTGCTGATCTCTGAGTTCATACACCTTTGGCTCCAGCATCCCAAAGGTATGAAGATGGTCCAATACAGGATCTCTCCTTTATAGTCATACTGTGTGTAGACACATGGTCTATTCTTGTACACCTCCAGGCAAACGGAGCTCACCCCAACATGAGACAGTTTGAGAATTCCCAGTTTGTCTGTGGACTGTCTATCTGCCTGTGTACATCCCTTTCATACTTATTGGTCCTAATGCTTACTCAAGTTGTAACCCAGACAAAATCCACAACAATCCCCCAAAGGATAGAAAATGGGAGAAGTCTGAGTCTAATCAATCTTCATCAGGGGTGGTATCAGAGTTCAATCAACTCCCATTTAGAAATGTGTTTGTGCTATTAGTTCTCAATTGTCTTGGCTCCAGGTACGACAGAGTTTATATCTGCCTCAGTCTTCTAGATTGAACCAGAGCAGCACTTTAAAACATTTAGTTCCAGGACAGGCTCTAAAACCACAGAGAAACCCTGTCTCGAAAAACCAAAAATAAATAAATAAATAATAAAACATTTGATATATCTGTGTTTTCTACAAATACATATTGGCTGTTTTCTATATATCACACATTGTTCTGGGCACTGCATACAGCTCTGAGTGAAATAGATAACCCCTGTCTATCTGGTGTGGGATGCAAATAATAAGTATCATGGATAGTAAGTTATATGGAATATTCCAGGGTAATAAGTGCTGCATTGAAAAATCAAGCAAAGAAAGAAACCTCATGATTTGTTTTGTGATGTCACTACAATTTTTTCAAAAGATGGTTGGGAAGGTCTCACTGAGAATGTAACATTTAAGTTACGGTTTAAAGAACACAAAAGTACAATTAGTACACATTTTTAGGGAAAGTGCTCTACTCAGAGGTAAACATGGGTGCAAAAAACCCGAAATGGAAGTCCTGCCTCGTTTTTCCAAGTTATTGGTGACATTATGTGGCTAGAGTACAGTAAGTAAGGAGGCGCATAGAAGCAGATACCCGTCTGAGAGACAATGGGAGTGTAGCCAAGAGTGACCTTGGATGTCTCCATAAGGACTTTGACTTCCACTGGGAACAAAACAAGAAGCCACTGGAGTTACATTAGCATAGGACCATCTAGCCTTCTCTGTAGAGGGCATCGGGGTGGGAACAGAGAGATCTCCAAGGAGGCTATTGCACTGATTCAGGAAAGAGGAGGCAGTATTAGGCTAGCGTGGTAACAGAAGGGGCAGCGAGAACTAGGCAGATTATTGATTTGTTTTGTGGAAAGACTCTACAGGATTTGCTGATAACTGGGTGTGGGCTGTGTTCTGTAAACATTTCTATTAGAAGAGAAATGCTGCCACCGGGCTTCTCTCCCTGGATCATTTTCATCACATCCTCATGACTTTTCCAATGCCTCTCAAACCAGGACACCATTTTAGGACAGTTTGTTAATGTGTTTTCCATGGTCTACCCCTACACATTGTCAACAGAATGTGGTCTCTTGTGTCTGCAGCAGTCCAAAGAGCACAAGCGCTGGAGAACAAACACTGAAATGATTACTTTCCGAGATCCCTGTTCACCATTGCCATCACCTAAAATGGCATTAATTTTAGGTAATCAGTTCACACTGTTGCCTCATACAAATTCCATGGTCAACAACCCTCACCGGCTTGTTTGTTTTTTTTTCACACAAGCTCTTGACAGTTCAATTATTTTTTATGCCTTACTCATGCACATGCCATGGTTGGCAATTGAGTTTTTAACTAAAATCTTAAGAGCTG